TAGTGCTGGCCTCTTGTCGCCGAATTAAAAAAATATTAAATGGTTTTAGAAAACGGCAACATTGATTTTGTAGAGCACTTCATGCATTTTCAATCCCACAATCTTGTCTCAATAAAAGAATCAAGTAGTGCATTGCCAGTTTAGCTGCATGCTACATTAGATCTGTCGATATTCTCATTTCACCCGCTTAATCCAAGTTGCAACTTGCAACGTCCGATACAACGTCCGCCCGTTAGTCGAAATTGTACCGATGTGTTTGATCTCTACTGCGTACATTACTTAATTTGCCGTGTGTAGGCAGCGTAAGGAAATCCATTACCCTATTTAGACCTATGGGAGTCATATTAGGGGACTATGGGAGATGCAAGAAAAGTATACGGGCTGACGACAGATGGCGTATAACGTCATCTAGTTTACGGGAGTCGTAACTTTTCGAACAGATGACAAGTAATACCAGAAGGCATAGGTCATATTTTATACAAAGAAGAGAGAGAAGAGTTTTTTTTTTGATAAATCGAAATATAAATAGTCTTTCACTGTCTTAAATTTTAAAAACACAATTATTATAAAAGACCCTATCTAAGCAAAACTGGGTAGAGACGCTAGATGTTTAATTTAAGTATAGCTATTAACTAACAAAAACTTTACATTAGTAATCAATGCAAGGTTGTAAGGCAAAAATTTTATACGTAATTTTATATGCTGCAGCTATATTAGTAGTATAGTTGTAGCACGAATGGGTCGGCTTGACCGGGGAAGGACCACGCTCTCACAGAATACCAGCGTAAAATAGCAGCTTAACGCTGCTGTGTTTCGTATGGTAAGTGTAGAGAACCGGTAACCCGTTTTACTGGAAAAGAGGCATTCCATCTTAGTCCTCACGGGTGACAACGCATCTGCATTTTGATTTGTAATAGAGAATAGATGTAGATGTCTATGGGCCGCAGCAACCACTTACCATCAGGTGGACTGTGTGCTCGTTTATCAGCCTTATCTTATAAAAAAAATATCATCCCATGGGTGTTGTAACAGGCAACAGAAAGAACCTGAAACAGAAGATGGCCAGCAGCATCTTTCTGACAGTCAAAATAATAAAAAAAACTGTGGTTGCCAATCCGCCTGCCAAGCCAAGCTAGCTACGACGTAATCTAAACGGCAGGTTCAGCAGTGGAATTGGATAGTTTGTAATGACGACGATCGTAAAACAGCTTCAAATTACGTGATGTTTTTACATTATTGATAACATTTGACAATCGATCGATGTATTTATAATTTTGGACGTAAAACTCGTCGTATTTAAGTTAAACTTCTTTTGTTTTTACTCAAACATTTTGTTATATTATAAAATTCTTACTCGAATATTAAATGAACATACCACGCATTGGAAACAAACGGTTTGCTTCGCTGTTCGTACAAGCAAAGTAGTGGAATAATGTGCCTTTTCTTTCAATTACAATGTGTTAGATGTGTTTAAGGCTAGAGTGAATAGTCTTTTGTTGAGCTAAGTCAGTGCGCTTCGCTATCTATGACTGCGTCACTATTTACCATCAAGAGGGACAGTAGTCGAACACTGCCTCATAATAGTTAACAAAATAATTTATATACAAGTGGTAAAATTAAAAATTTCGTACAACCGACTTCAATATAAATTATTAAAGATAACTCAAAAACTACTGGTCAGACCATTTATATGAGAGCACATGAAGAGCACTAGCTTTCAAATAAAAAGAGAATCGTCGAAATCGGTTCACCTAGCAAAAAGTTATAAGGTAGCACACATAAAAAAATATACAGTCGAATTGAATACCTCCTCCTTTTTGTAATCGATTAAAAATAACTTTCATTCAATGTATATTAATATTACATATTAGTAAGCTAACGTGGCCTTTCCGGAAATGAGGGGACGTATATAGGCTGTAACTTTAATTTTTAACTTTAATCAAAGTTGGGAGAATTTACATTGTCAACAAGTGTACTTAATACAATACTGAGCAAATATTGGCAAAGTAAATTTTTCTAACTTTAATATAATGGATTTCTGCTAGGTAACGCCTGATTCTATTAATTATTTTAACTTTAAGCTGAAGTCGCAATGGGCCGGCCATATAGCTCGAAAAACCGACAACCGATGGGGAAAAAGGTTCTCGAGTGGCGGCCTCGTACCGGCACAGGCGATGTGAAGGGCGTCCCGTTCGCCAGATGGAGTGACGACCTGGTAAGACATGCAGGAAGTCAATGGATGCAGGTGGCTCGAGACCGGGCATTATGGCATTCTTTGAGACTTGTGAAGGGCTGTAATGATGATGAACAAAAAAATATTTTACCACTGATTCATAAAAACTTCTGTCCTGGGACACTTGAGAAAACTAGGTAAACTAGGACATTGTACAATGAAACCACAGGTTGTACGATTCATGAACAATAATGTACTTCCACGTTTGATTTAATGTGAAAGTCTGGATTATTGCTCATTTACAATTATTGTGGTCAAACACAGGCTTTTATAGTACCTAATAGAGAACAGTTACTGTAATTTGGTTTTTAATAGACTGGTGATTGTGGGTGTTCATGGACTGGATTATCCACTTGCTAGCGTGCGAACTGAGTGATAGTAGTTGACGGCTACGTGGCGCAGTGGCTTAGCAATGAGTTGCAGCGCTAAGAACCGCGGGTTCGAATCCCGCTCGGAACAAGTATTTGTATGGCCTGCAAATAATTATTCCGGGTCTGTGAAATTTATGTATGTGAACTATGTACCGATATGTAACTACGTAACTAAGTAACGATACAGGATAAAATCCTAGCGTGAAAGTAACGATTTTTTTAATAGAAAGAATAAAGTAGTTGTATGTTGATGTATCTAATAGTTGTTTGTTATTATATATATATATATATATATATATATATATATATATATATATATATATATATATATATATATATACTAGCTGTTCCCCGCGACTTCGCTCGCGTGTTAGGGTTTTATGTTTTTGCGCGGAACCCTAATTTCTTTCTTAAATAAATCTAGCTTAAGTTACTCCTTGTGAAATCAGCTATCTGCCAGTGAAAGTCCCGTCAAAATCGGTCCAGCCGTTTCGGAGATTAGCCGGAACAAACAGACAGATAGACAAAAATTTTATAAATTGTATTTTAGTAATAAGTACCGTATTTACTTTCATATGCATTTAGTAATAAACTGTAATTTTGACATTACAAACAGACACAATTTTATTTATTTGTATAGATGTTCATACATACACCTTCATACCTGTTATCCAGATGTGTAGGCAGAGACTTCGGACTTCCGTTTGGCACGATCGTGATATGCCCCTCTCTCTCTCTCTCTCTCTCTCTCTCTCTCTCTCTCGCTTCTTTCACATCCGTATATCTACGCATACATCCTCGTCAGTTAAAGGTACTCTTAAGTTGGTCTATAACAGGGGTGGCCAACTTGATTGGACCCAAGATCTCTTGTTCACTAACGAGACCCTGTGCGATCTACCACTTCTAGAAATCTTAAATGAAACAGCATAGTTCAGTGCACAGTCATGTACTTAGCATTTTTTTTATTAAGAGAAAAAACATAAATGTGAAAATTATACTTAGTAACTACTTATTTACATATATATTAGTGTGAGCATTGCGTCTGAGTATCTTCCACTAGTTTAACATAATCAGGTTTGTAGTTAGAGATTGCCAACCTTAAAGAATCCAATGTATGAGCGTCTGTCAAGCGAGAACGGTGTTTACTTTTTGTTTAAGTAGGAAAATGCTGATTCACATAAATATGTTGAAACAAAACACGAATGAAGTTGTTCAACACAATTCTTCAAATTTGGATATTTTTCTTTGGAAACCAATACCCTGAAATCTTGACCTGAGGATATCCTTGCTTTAAGAAATATGTCGCAGCGCAGAGTAATAATTTCGTTTTGTAACATCATGTGCTCCATTTGAAATGTATCTGCAAAATTTGTAGCCAATTCATAGATATCACTAAGATCAATGGAATCATTGAACGGATAACTGATGAATTGAACCAAGTTCTCAATTTTTCTGAAATCACCAAAGCGAATTTCGAAGTCTGCTACCACTGTCCCAATTTCTGTCGTATATTTCTTGGAAATGAAATTGTAGTTAGGATGTTTTTCCATATGATCCTTGATGTTAACAAATTGTTAAAATTTTTTTTTCTCTATGTCAACTATCATAGACGCTGTTTGACATTGAAATGCTGCAATGGAACTCATCATTTCTGTTAATGTTTTATTCTTGCCTTGTAGATTCAGATTTAATGTACTCAGTTTTCCAGTAAAATGTGCCAAAAAAGCTAAATCACATTGCCAGTCTAAATCACGCAATCGCTGATAATCATCACCCCTTTCATCAAGAAATTTTATTATTTCGTCCAATAGATCTCGAAATCTGCAAAAACTTGCCTCGACTCAAGCACCTCACGTCAGTGTGAATTGCCAATTCTGGTTCCTTCTCATATAATTGCTGTTTAAAGAGCCGCCTTTGGAGGGATTTTCCCTTTATGGAGTTTACAATCTTAAAAGAAATATCCATCACATGTTTCGTGTTTAATCTCTTACTAGCCAGTACTTGTTGATGAATTATGCAGTGGTAGCTAATGAAGTCTGGAAAATCTTCGTCTTTGTGACAAAGAGCAATAAAACCATTATGAATATCTGTCATTGCAGGAGCTCCATCAGTTGTCATTGATACGAGTTTATACATGCATAGCTTAATCTGGCAAATATATGCTTTGAATTCCGTGAATATATCAAGGCCACGAGTTTTTCCTTTTAAGGAAATCATACCTAGCAGTTAATCTTTGGTCGAGAAATCTTCGAAGACCATCCGAATAAAAACAAGTAATTGTGCAGTATCAGTGACATCTGTTGACTCGTCAAACTGAAGCGAAAAAGCAACGCAGAGGACGATATCTTTTTGTAGTTGTTCGTTTAAGTTTTTACTTATTATTTCTATACGGCGCATTACGACAGCTGTAATCTGCTTTGAACAGCTTTTTTAATTTCGTTTTTATTTTTGAAATTCACGAACAGCGAATCTGACACTTCTTCGAAGATTTCTTTGATGTATTCTCCATCGGAAAAAGGTTTGCACTTTTGTGCAATTCTGTAGCTTACTTGGAAAGAAGCTTCAGTTGCAGCTTTACTTTGCTCAATAGGCCCAGAAAACATGTTTTCTTGGACTTTTAATTGCGATTTCAGTGCTTGCAATTTACTCTTTCTTATTTCGCTGTTAGGTGGAAAGTCAGTCTGATATTTACTATGTATTGTGTTAAAATGTCGCTCTAAATTTCCTTTTTTGGGCATTGCCAGGGACGTATTGCATATTAGGCAGCAACAGTTTTCTTTCAGCATAGTAAAGAAGTAATCCAATTCCCATTCTTGGTGAAAATGATAAGTTTTTGATTTCTTTGGAGCACATTTATCAAGAATCTGTAAAAAATGAAATTAAAATATTAGGAACATAATTTGTATAATAACAAATATAGAAATACAATTTAATGAGAATAAATTTCGTAACGATGGCACAAAGTTAACGAGTGAACAATATTTTCTAGTTTTTTACCCACTTACTAGGTGGATAATTCGTTTGATCCACCGAGTACCTATCTAAAATAATAAGGCACTGATTTAAAGAGGCCGTTGTAAATTCGTGATTCTTGTAGTATAGGAAGAGAGGTCTGTTTGCAGTAATAACAATATTAAAAATATTAACTTACTTTATTTTAGAAGCATTTCTTTCTTCATTTGATGTTCCTTCAGCGCTTCGTTTCAACCACTTATCCATAATGTACGTAAACAAATTATGATGCGTGCCTAATACAAAGTCTAATCGTGATTTACATCGACATAACCCCGTTAGTCTCTGTCGTCAACTGTCAACTGACTGACTGAGACTCTCCCGTCCCACCCCCGCATCCCACACGCTTCCCGCTTATTGGTTATCGCACGCCGAAAACAAAAGACTATACTGCGTAAAATAGAGGATAAATACCGTGACGGAACAGCGATTGAAAAATTATACAAGATGATGCGTCCAGCAGTAGGTCATTACGTTGGGCAGTCTGGTCTACGTATTTATATTTTTTGCCTTGCCACGATCGACTTGACTAACAGTCGCGATCGACCGGTTGGCCACCCTTGGTCTATAACATGTGGTAAAATTAAAAATTTTGTACAACCAACTTCAAGATAAATAATTTAAAATTTAAAATTTTGTACAGCCGACTTCAATATAAATTATTAATAATAACTCAAAAACTATTGGTCTGACTTCGATTAAATTTGTTTGGGACCACACGAGAAGTATCAGCTTTCATGTTAAAAAAGAATCATCCAAATCGGTTAACTCAGTAAAAAGTTACGAGGTAACAAACATTAAAAAAAACATACAGTCGAATTGAGTACCGTCTCCTTTTTGGAAGTCGGCAGATAAAATGAGAACATCATCAATGTAGTCGAAGTCAATTAAACGCGCATGATTAAGGATAAATCAGTAACTACTGGTCCAAACACTCATTTCTCATTCATTCTTTCATCGTGGTCATACCACCGAAGCATTCCTTTCTTAATCCTGGTTACGACGTCTTATTGTCGACTAGCTGATACCCCCGACTTCGTTCGCGTTGCTTGATAAAGGTAAAAATATACTTTGCTTACAAAATTTCTTTGTAAACCATGTTATTCGTTGCTCCGTTTGTAGCTAAAATATATAAATTATTTGGGTTAGTAACGCGAGAGCAAGCGACGTATGAAAAACCCCCTTATAAAATATCGTTGTTTCTTAAAACTTTAATAAGTTTATATTAAATGAAGATATAGCAATAACTTTTTTAGATAAGGGCAAAGTGTTTAAGAAACAAAACTTATAGAAATGAAATCTATCTAGTAGTTTTTTCGTGATGCGCGCAGTACCTACTGCAAAACTCTATCATTTTATTTATATAGATATACACTAATATACGTGATGTGTGCTTAGATAAAAGAATTGTCTGCGTTTTACAAGACAATATTCTCCAAAGCTATTGATGAAATAGATAATGACCGACATCCGACATAATATCAGAAATCTGACGACATGATTACTTCGACCCGCGAGCCGCGTTTTATTGTTTTAAATTAAACGAAATGGGCCGTGGGTCTGTACCGTTGGAGAACTATACACAATATACGAACATAAGGTATGAACAGTAGTTGAAATGAATTGCAATGCAGCTTCTCTTTTTCCTTCTCTGCATGCTATACGTACGATGTAAAGAAGATGCTCAGAAGTTCTCTTGCGATATAAATTCTGTGACGTGGATATCTGCAGAAGAACTAGAGTTGCTGACATAGTCCAGTAGATTAGTAAGCTGAAGAGGCAATGGGACAGCCTTATAGCTCTAAAACTCACAACCAATAAGGAAGAATGATTTTCGAGTGGCAACCTCGTTTCTCGTAGCTACAGTCTACTCGATGGTACATTGCTACTGCAGTTTTTTTTTATATATTATTAGGGTAACAAATGAGCACACAGTCCACCTGATGGTAAGTGGTCGCTGTGGCCCATGGACATCTACATTTATCCTCGATCATGAATCAAAATACAGATGCGTTGTCACCCGTGAGGACTAAGCTGGAATGCCTCGTTTCCAGTAAAAAGGGTCTCCGTTTCTCTACACTCACCATACGAAACACGGCAGTGTTAAGCTACCATTTGACGCTGGTATTCTGTGAGAGCGTGGTCCCTCTCCGGTCGAGCCGATCCATTCGTGCTACAACTATACCAGTAATATAGCTGCAGCATGGCTCTACCACGTATCCACGTATAAAAGTTGATGGACACCTGCAACTAACTTAAAACAAACAAGCATACAGATGCGTTGTCACCATTGAGTTATACGTACTACGTACTAGAGAAGCCATTCCAAACAAAAATTGTGTCCTACTCTGTCTTCGCGCATGCGCGGGAGTAGTAGTCGCGCATGCGCGATGACTTTAATTTAATATAAAATAAGATATTAATATAAAATAAATATAACAATTTAATATAAAATATCTTAATTTACTCTAAACAAACATATTTCTAAATAAAATGTAATAATAATTATTTTATGGAATTCACAAATCTTCAATTTACGCAATATTTAGTTTGTATTGATTGCACTACAGTTCAGTTGAACATAGTCAATGTTCGGAATGGCTTCTCTAGTACATAGTATAACTCAATGGTTGTCACCTTTGAGAACCAAGATGGAATGTCTCACAGGTTTTTAAACAAATGTAAAACTAGTAAACAAACAAAGAATTATTTATGTGGCCATTTCGTACAAAATATTATATTAGCTGTAAAAAGTTACGTACATCTGTAGTACATACATCCGTAGGATAAAACGGTCCTTAAAAATAAATGGGGCTGTTTTTCCCGAATTAAGTCTTATATAATTTACTTACTTCTAAAATTAGTCCGTAAATTACTAAACCAATAAAACTAAAATATATTAATATTATTATTATTACTAGGTAATATGTTTTCTTTCCTTTCTTCGTTTGAGTTCGTACTATCCTTTTACATATTTCTTTTAAACGGGAACTTAATTTGGAGGCAATTACAGGCTGAGAGGGATTTAATCTCAGGGCTCAGCAGTGACAACGTATCTGTGGTTATCATTTAAGTTGATTGCAGCAGCTGTGCTTGAATTAGATTAAAATGTAATAGATTTTATAATGACAAACCAAATAACTGATCCGAACAAGCAATCGTAGTTACGAAAACTAGACTAACGAGGTAGTTAGTGAACACAAGTAAAACACGTCATTATATAATCGTTACGGATAAATTAATACAATATAACGACTCATAGGTGTCTAACGTCAAAACGGAATTACTAGATTAAAACTACGATTTTGTTTTTATAGAATTAGGGTGACAAATGGAAAACACAGTCAAACAACAACACAGTGTGAGAACAAAATACGTAAAATAGCAGCTTAAAGCTGTTGTGTTTCGTATGGTGAATGTAGAGAACCGGGGACCCTTTTTACTGGAAATAAAGCATTCCATCTTGGTCTTCAGGGTGCTAGCATATCTGCATTTTGATTCTTAACTGAGGACAGATGTAGATGTCTATGAGTACTGTATCCACTTACCATCAGGTTGACTGCGTTTTTCGTTTACCTTCCCCGGTCACGCCAACAGCTTCGTGTTACGACCACAATATGGCTGCAGCATAACTCTACCACCGTATACCACCAGACTTACAGTATCACACCTCAGGTGTCCATTGGCTGCAGGAGCCACTTCTTTCAGGCTGGCTCTTGCTCGTTTCTCACTTTAAAATCATATATACAAAGTGGTCGTTTGTTTATATGTATGTATGCTTGTATCTGGAGTCACGACTTTTGCTACAACAACGAGATTGCACATGTGGATGTATACATCGTAGGAACGAGTAACTATTCCGGTTTTCGAGACCATTTGTTACGAGAGTTGGTTCAACTGCGCCTATTGCCTGATTGCAAAATTTATTTTGGAACGAAGTTCCTTATCGCAAGGTACAAATTTGACGGATGGGGCCTAGGCGAGAAAAAGTGTTAGATTTTTCCGTCACGACCCCCTTTCTATATTGCGAGTGAGATGGAATAATATCCGACTCCCTCGCACTTTTTCTTATCTCGTCATGAAAGAAATATAATTTTAAATGGCGCTTAATTTTAATAGACGAATAATTTGTTTACTTGTAAGTATTTGTTAATCAATAATATAATACGTTTATCAATAATAAAAAATACTACGAAAGGAACTTCGTTCCAACCGTTCTTATTTTCTTAAATGGAGGTTTTGACTTTTCTTATTGATTTTTTCCATTACAGCCTATCTCTTCTCCGGTGCTGAATATAGGCCTCCAAGATTGCCTCATGAAGGGTAATGCGCCTAACCCTGTATATATAAACACGATACTAGGCTTCAAAGATTCGATGAACTCACCGCTGACCTATGAAGAAAGTTTCTCGAAGTGCAATTTGAAACCTGTAAGCACACCGATGTGTGCACGACCTCCTGATAGATACAAAGCAACAGAAATTGATCCTTTGTGTGTGCTAATAAATTGATGCTGTTTGATTTATTTATAACGACAGTCTACTGGGAAGACTATACTAAGCTGTGGTCTTAGTTGTACTTATTTTTCCATAAAAGCTACTGAGATTAGCAATAAAAAAATTGAGGGTCACTTATCGGGATAAAAACTATCCTATCTCTCAAGTTGGACCAAAATGCACACAGTGTGCAAAATTTCATTGAAATCAGTTCAGTAGTTTAGGAGTCC